TAAAATAAAATAACTGGACCACCGGTAGTCACTGTGACGCCAACTCAACTTATATCTGATGATTCCACGGGCTGCACCGCTGATGTCCAGGACAGGTACACCCCAAGCCGGATCTTCCTGCAAGAAACCAAAGAGGTAATTTTAGTCAAAGAAGCAGGATGTAAGAGATTCAGGAAGCATGCAATTTCGACAGATGAGGTCAAAGGCGACTCTTCCAGACCAATCCCAGCCACTTCCAGCGATTTCCAAATTTTTCATTTTTGGCGAAATTTACAAATAAGGCCTTTGTGTTTTTAGCGAAACTTGATGGGTCCGGATTTCGACGGAATATCAGTCGAATCGACAGGGTTGACCCAGTGGACCTCAAAACTACATTTGGTTCCGTCAGAAACCACCCCTGTCCACAGAAACTTGCGTTTAAGGGTGGTCTTTTGAATCTGGCGGGCAGCGTACGATGGTCTGCCAACCTCGCAGGCCAACCGGGAACCGGTCCAAGAAAAACAGGGGTAACTCACTTGAAATGGCTCAGCGGCGTGAAATTTTGACGGAGAGATTGAAAGAGGATGCTGTCGGGCCAGTCCCAACAATTTCCAGCGATTTTCAAATTTTTCATTTTTGGCAAAATTACAAAGGCTATATAAAATGATGGGTCCGGATTTCGATAGAGGAGTATTCGAATCGACAGGGGTGAACCAGGGATCACAAAACTACCTTTGTTTCTTTTTAGAAACCATCCCTGTTCATAGAAACTTGAGTTTTAAGAGCTGGTCTCTCTAACTATGGGCGGGTAGGCTACCTAAGGCGCACTGGCTAAGAACTTTGCGGTAGTGGGTCGGCACAATGATATTTAGAAAGGGAGTCTGCCCGACCAATCCAAACCAATTCCAGCAATTTTCCAAATAGTCATTTTCAATGCTAACAAATCAGCCTAGATTTTGACAGAGGAGGATTGAAATCGACAACAAAGAAACAAGGCACCACAAAAAACATCAAAATCCACCCTTTGATGCACACGAAAGGAAGCTCCCCATAGAGTCTGTACAGAGACAAATTGTACCAGCGCTGGTTACTGTCATGTCAACTCACCAATTCTTTTGGGTAAAATGACTCCATAGACTTCTTTGCTCATGTCAAGAACATTTCTGGGCCGAGTTCCTGCAATCATATTAAAAGGTTCTTTTAGTGCTCATTAACTATTAATTACATATATAATTTACTCATACAATACACTTTTAAATGCCTCTCACCCACCCATACGTCTCTAAATGACTATGGTCTTTCAAATAACTAATTTTGGCACTAGATTAAACATTAAGAACGAAGGGGAAGCCGCAAATTAGCTGCAACGCACATTAATTGATTGTTTGGGGGATTACGCAAATAGTACCAGACGGTTTGCACCCCAACCAGGCAGAAGACGCCGGTCATGACACCGATTTTCACTGTTTGTTTACGTTTCCATAAAGGCGCGAGAAATGCGGGGTGGGGAGGAGAAGAGGGGTAGGGGACGCGGCACGGCAAAGCGGGAGAGCAATAATAGTGTATTTCGAATAACGGAGGAAGGAGAATAGCGGGTAGAACATAAAGGTTCCTGATTGGCCGAACGCTTACCCCCACTACCGGCGAGACGTAGAGGCGGGAAGCTCTCGGCCAATCGGTAACGTTTATGTTCTACCCTCTCTTCTTCTTCCTCAGTTAGTCGAAATACGCTATAACGGCAGAAGTTCTGATCAGACGACGACTCACCGACATTTCGTGGTCACGGGATGTGATTCTTCAGGGCTCCCGACCCATGCAACATGTGGCCGCATGAGCTCCATGGGGAACTTCAGGGAAGAGGACGCCTTGGCTTGGCAATCCCGCCCCGCTTGTCCGGGATGTGATGTGATCCCCAGGGATGCCTTCCGCTCGACCTCGGACCTACCAGAGACTGGGACTCAGCGTGCGTGAAAACCCCCTAACACGAAATTTCAGTCGTTCCGAGGTTGACGGTCGGTCGGTCCCCGTACAGAAAAAAGTAGCCTCAGGATGGCTCCGTCGTAGCCATTCTCAACACATCGCGGAGGCTCGCTGTGATCAGTCTCCAGCTTTTGTGTAGCCGAGGCGTAGCCATCGCGAATGGCTCCGCAATAGGTAACTTAATGACGGAAAGAGCCATTCCGCAGCCGCTTTGGAGCCAAACATAGGCCGGCACCTGG